TGTGAAATCCACAACCAAGAAACCCAGCTGCGCTGGTCGTTGTCGCCTCCCTGGATGGGGAGCCCGAGACGGGACACATCGATGGTTAGAGACATTGTTAGACAGCCCAGTCGCTCAATGATTGGTGCTCCCGCATCCAATCTACCGCCTTTAATGTATTGCTCCCATCCCAATCTCTCCGATTAAAAGTCCCCTGACAACACTGTACTTACGCATCAATTACATCAGCACCCAATTCCAATGTGCAGCCACGTACCCCGTTCCTCAAAATATCGGTTAGCAAAAGTATGACAGCTGGAACTACTGCAAGCCACGCACGAGCTTCTTACAAATGATGATGGTGATGAGTACACGTTGGTTACTGGCTGTTCACGTATAGTTTTGAACTAGGACTGGACAAAAGTTGAAGATTCCTGCCAAAAGCATGCTTGAATTCCACTACCTTCTCTAGGTATGTCAGCTGATTTGAATCTTTGGACCTTGGCACTAGTCTGACAGCTCGTAATGGTTTTAGTATACCGGACAATGCGGAAAAACCGTACAGAAACTAAGCCGACAACCTTGAGTGTGACTCATCGCTGTCGCTGTGGCTGTGCTGTACGTGTACATAGTATTTTGGTAAAATAGTGATGTAAGGAACTCTCTTCAGATACAACGCACAGCATTTTGCTGTTTTTATCAGAATTCAGTTTGTCCGTCGATGCCTTTTTCAGGACGGCTGATTTTTCGGCTGTGTGGACTTTGTACGCTACACTTCATTTCTTGATAAATTGGGATTTTCGTTTCTTCCTGTCTGGTGGAAAATTCCCATGTTCATGTTATGCGAGCGAATCTGAACTGGCATTGGTGTGAACTTTTGATCAAGGTCAACTTTCACCTTTCTTGAGTAAGATTTCATTGGTCAGAGACTTGCTTTCGCTTTTCTCAAAGATTTAGAATGGTCAGAATTACAGCAGCCTGATCAATCGATGCGGCTATTGGCAGAAAAATAAGAGTCTCCACAGTAATAGAGTTGCAGTGGCTCAGAGAGACGCTATTCTTTGAATTGGACCAGGATGATGTTCCATTCAGATTTAGAAATGCATATGTGATTAGGTCAGTAAAAAGCGTTTCAGCTTGGTGTGATTTGATGTGCTCTGACTTGTACGAAAGGTTTGTTTGTGCTGAAATTTGTGTTGCTACAATTCGTCATGTTACCCGCAGACGGAGAACATGTTAGCCATTCAAGGTTAGGTCAGTTTGTACGATATGGGCCCTGTGCCTATACAAGGTTGGGCATATCTGATGCTAGCTAATAGATTAGGGTTGATGGGCGGGAAAAACGAATAAAAAACAGAACAAAACAAAAGAATAGACAGTTAATGACTGAGAATAGCAGAACAGATACAACACTACCACAGGCGATCACTTCTGATCACTGATGTAGTGAACTCTGTATATTCCACCCCGACAGTGGGAATGCGCTAGTTCGTCTAGGACTCCTTGTCGTGTTTTTCATGTTCCGTCCCAGGACAGGCATTGCCCACCTTATGATATGTTGCACTCAGAACCCGTTTTTGCTGTCAGGTAGAATTAACCAATCACCTGACATACATCACAAGGCTTAGCCAACGTAGCTGGTCAGCCTAATCGACACATCAGTTTGGCAAACAGCTGATGTGTCGCTCAAAGCTATTCTTTGTGCTTAAGCATTGTTGATTCGATGTTCCCATGCAATGCACCAGCTGCAACAATGATCGTAGAAAAGAGACCTTCCCTACTCGTCCGAGCAAAGTGAACGGGGTTTTACAAGCGTGAAACCCTGAACAGAGGTTAATATCACTTCGAATTCAGAGGTGTCTAAGTTGAAAGCGAGTGAGGCTTTCTCTCTGTCAGCGATGCCACCTCCCAATATTAAGATGAGTTAATCTATCCATTATCTCTAGTGGTTCTCATGTCACGATAAACTCTGGTGCTGTAATCACCAAATATGGCTATGTAAATTTATAGTTTGAAAGCAAGAAGTGCATACACAATCACATGAAAACAGTAATCAGATTATTGAATTTAGGTCGCGTGCTGATGGAATCTGAGTACACTGAAGCGATAGCATTCGTATACTGCAGGCTTCCATCGTGAAGAAGTTCCACGCTGGGACTTAATTATTAACTAGTAATTCCTTCACAAATTTACAGAGAAAATGTGATGAGAGACAACCACGGCGAATGTCAGCTTTGGTAGTGAGCTCAGGAGAAGCTCCTAGTAGGTCCTCAAGCATCTACGGGTGTGGAAGTATACGGATTAGAGGAGTGTGGTGAAAAAGAACCAGACACATTTAAAAGAGACGCTGTCACAAAGCCCCGGCCAGGAAACTGAGTCAAACGCTGATTTTGGTTCTAACAGAACCAGAGTCAAACGTCTGTATGTGTGGGACCGTTAGAGAATTTGTCGCAAAGTAAAAATGAATCCAAAGTTCTGACGCAGCTTCTCTCAGATGCTGGCAAGTCTGCATGGGATAATACTTTTGAAGAAATCAGAGAAAATGGTTACCAGGCCGACATCCGGACGTTGATCATATTAGGATCTAGCAACTTTTTAAGGACAGGAATCTACCACCCTTACACTTTACTTGAATCCAAACTACCCTGCCAACTGTTTTTTTGAGGCTCTGTGCCACGAGGAAAGGTGGTGAAAATAAAAATGCATCCATAATGACTTCATCGACCGGCGTTTCCCTCGATCCGCGTTACACACAAGTTGAAGATCGGTGCGACTGTGTCTAATCTCTCTTGAATCTACGGGACAAGCATCAATTCAGGAATCCTTTCACTGAGTGGTATTGTCAACTCGATGGAAGCACTCCTTGTCTCTCCCGGGTCTAGAAGCACTGTGGAATCCAAAGTGAATTGCTTTCAAAGACGCATACAGTTGGACGTTTCAGATTTCGAAGCAGTCTTCATTCGGCTTGCCTGCTTGGTTCCAGTTCTTTAGTCGCTAAACGATTGCCGCCGATAAACTTACTTGACAACTGCACTCCGCAGGCTGTGAATAGCAGAGCGCTGAATGTTTTTCACTTCGGATTCAGGGGATTAGGCTGTCGGTTGCGAGCCGGGGGGTTATCTGACCCAGTACACTGGACTCACGAGCCTTAAACACAAGGCATTCAACTCAACAACTAGATCAGCGATATTCGTGTACTCTGTCATCTGCGGAACCCTCAAAATTTTCTCGTCAAAGTCGTCTTTACATTTTCACTTCTGCGGTAGGGTAGGTTTTATGATGCAATAACAAAAAGACTTTGGATTTGGGATCGTCAGCTGTGGAATCTGACAGGCTCAGCCTGTCTGACTGCACATAATCGGCCATTCAGAGGATATTAGATTGAAACCTGATAACGCTGAATGGAATATCCTTCATTCCTATGTTTCTTGAACAGATGGTACTTTAAGTTGGTCAGACAGAAGAAGGAACTCTTGTTAGGGATCTCGAATCTCTATTTCAAAAAGGTCTTACCCACAAGTCAATTGGAGAAAGCAGGATTTTGTCCCGGCGCCCTGTTGATAACCTATTACTTAACAATCTGACTCAGTTGACCTGTTAAGACCAAGGCCTCAGGAAAAATGCATAGTTCGGACCAGCGGTCACGAATAACCTCAGGGAGATGGAAGCGTTCAGTAATTAAGCCGGTCACTTATAACCCGCCTCTCCTTGAAGAAAGAGAGTATCGTTTTCATATAAGTGAATATACTGGTTGTCGCAGGAAACATCTTATTGCCCCCACACTCCTATCACAGAGGAGTGCGCGAGCTCAATATCAGACAGTTTCGCACAATGAGTACTCGTGGCTAGTGGATTAATTGTACTTCGTCTCATTGCTCTCCTCTTACTTTACTGGTACCTCGAGGAACGAGGACCCAGACAGTGTAGACCGCGAATCACCACAACACCGAAAAGTAAACCATAACATCAAGGTAACAGAATTGTACTTTGTCTCATTGCTCTCCTCTTACTTTACGGGTACCTCGAGGAACAAGGACCCAGACAGTTTGGACCGCGAATCACCACAACACTGAAAAGTAAACCATAACATCAAGGTAACAGCTGTTGGTTGGGAGCAAATTTTGATCGGATCCCGCTCGAATTAATGCCTAGAAGAGGCGGCCGGTAAAAGGCCAATCCAAAATGGTGTTTGCAGTTAATGGTAGTCACAGAATTTTTCTCCTAATAAGCAAACTTTACTCTGGTCACCGGTAATTCTGACTTACATCAGATCATTTAAACAACTCAAAGGGATTCAGACTATGCCATTCTGTGGATGTTAATAAAGATAATGCTTTCGTAGGGATTTTCCGTACGTGACCGTCATCTGTTGCTGTCGAGTAACTAAAAGCCCCATTCTCCCCCTGGAAACTCATAGCAACTTAAGCCAACCTTCGACAATTGTGGCTCCCGTCTCTACAACATACCTGTCCACTGCAGAATCTCCAGCACTTAACTCTCGATGACCTCGAAGTATCGTCTCGGTTTGATCAGAACAGCTACCCAAAATTACTGAGGTTAGGGATAGCTGGCAATGGACAGAAGACCTAGTCCAATGTTATAGGGAGTTGTGGTTACCTCACGCGCTTTGTATTCTAACAAAAAATCTAGTCTTCGGCCGGCAAACCCAGTTTTGATCGTAAAACACTGAAAGATATGACCTAGTCAGGCAGTTAGCAGTGTCTTTGAATCAGTGGTACTCTTCCCCCAGTATGTAGCTGTTTGCAAGATTTTCTAACATATGATTTCAAACCCCACCTATTGGTTTTGGAGACTGGTGTTTTCAACAAAATGGTACAAGCTACCGCGTCTAATCAGCAAATAAGAGAACTTCTAGAACCTCATGCCGCCATACCCGGATACACCCACCATTCGTAGTTGAGGCGTTGCCCTAGTTGATAGTGTTATCACGCTTGCCTTCTGTTTCGTCATGATGTATTGGTTCATACCACCTCCAATAAAATTTGCTCATTCTGTTTCAGATATAATGTCCAATTGCCTTCTGGCACGCAACGGGTATCCACGAATTGCATATGCGGCCTGTATTGGCTCACCACTGTTCAACCTATTGTTGGGTGCAGGACTGTCATACACGATCAAAATCAGTCGGAACAATGATAGCTTCGCAATTGTAAGTAAATTTTACGACGCGTTTGCACCGTCCCGTAAACCTTGCAAGCAATTACCAATACAGTTAAAGTATACCGTTACACTCGAGGGGTGGATTTTCAGAGGAGTGGTTCCGACTGATTGGCTTATCCAGCCGGAATTTCCATTCATACCCATTTGTTTGAATAGTTGGATAGTGATGGTGCTATGCTTAAAGAACGAGGTATGGGAACAACGTGAAATTCACAATGTCAGGTTTCGGTATGGGATAGGGGTGGAAATAAATCCGTTCTATCTCTTTATGATTCGCGTCACCTTAGAACACAAACGTCCTGAGGATGAAATCATTTGTCAGAAATCACTCGGGTGTTATGTGTTTCGAAAGGAGTTACAAGTGTTTGTAATAGGTTTATTCAAAGGAATAGTTTTTCTTCTTTTGAATGAAGTTAGTCTATGAAAATAAACTCCTTCGTTCCGGTTGAGGACAATAGCGGCAGCCAATATTAGAGGAGATTCGAATCTGTGCGCTCCTCAGCGCTGGTTGAGTTTTCGACCGCAAGTGGTTAGGTAGCACGGTGAACAACTCTGATGTAGACAGGATATCGCCCCGCTCACACCACTCATGTCACTTGACACGGTTTTAACTAGCTCCTCGACCGACAACACAGAATGAAAGCTTGTATGATTCATTGAGCTTTTTCTGAGCAAATGATTCGTAATTTGTGAGTAGCGAGGGGATGTCAATTGGGCCTGCATCCCACACATGGAGCTGACTTGTGCTGTAAGAAGTTACTATGCAGCCATTTTATCCTTGTTGGGAACCATCAGTATTGTGTGAGGTAGAGTGTCCATTGGAAATTCAGAACAGGAAGTGTGTTGACTCACAAGCGGTTTCACGTCAAGCGTTCTTGTGACCACCAATATCCTTTCATGTGTCCCACTACCTAAGAGATTTTCAGTTACACTTTCAAATGGATGACATTCCTGCACTTATAAATACGTCACGTGATAGGCTGGAAGGTTACCGCATACGAAAAAACCGATTGAAGTGCCGAACGGAATCGGATCACGTGGTTGCTGAATACTATTTGTTAGCAATACCGTCGGTGATAAACTGACACTGCTCCATCGACTGTTGAAATTGATTGATCCAGCCTGCATAGATTATTCGCCTTTTTCAGTGTAATTGGCCCCGGTTTGTTGGGGACCGTGTATTGTAACAACGGGCACCTGCTAAACTCGGTTACCAAAACTGATTTGAGTGCGGAGCTACAGGCACTCTGTTTATCTCATAGTATTCTGTTTCATAAATCACCAGTCAGTTTGTGGCACAATGTCTTCGAATGCATGAGGGTTTGCAGGGGTGTGGGAATGACAATGGAAGGTTATATATATATATATATATATATATATGTATAGAAGGGAGGTGCATGAGTATGTAGTTAACTGTTCTAAAAGATAAAGCCACATCAGATCAATTTAACAACGAAGCCATCTAAGGTTTCTAGAAGGCCCCAAATAAAGGAAGAAGGCCTTCGCTGCGGAGTTATTTATTAGAAAATGCCAACTGACCAGTTACAGACTATTAGACAGGGAAGCAAAACTCTCATTTGCATCTTATTTACAAAAACTGAACATCCATCTTCTCATGAAAGAGTCTTATTGAACTTTTCTGGATATTCATTGACTCCAATCACTCATGGCTCAAATCCAAGCGAATGCTACTTTGTATCTGTCATTAGGACCTTTACAATTCATCCTTAGGTTCCAGTATTGAGTCAGTCTGTTTCAAAAATTCCGAGTTGAACATGAAGGACAGCCAGAGGAGAGGAGAAACTGAAGTCACTGACTTTGAAAACTTAAAAACCTGATGCTTGAATCACCATCGTGTGAGTATGTGGGGGTTGGGGTGCCTCCTGACCTTATGAATGAATTTCTCACCCTAAAACTCAGTCAGTATTGCGTAGCGACCAGCCATCTGGATAGCTTTGGCCCACGGACCTAAACCAGATGAAATTCTCAACATTTATTTGAGAACTCGATTCTTTCTATTTTGATCCTTTCTTGAGATGGGTCGCCGTATAGGTAAACAAGCATCACGCAATCCGCCTATAGCATAGCATCCGACAATGATACACTAGGTGACGAATTGTCGAGTTACATCAGTCTATACAGCGGTAATCAAAGGCGAACTAGGGCGATAGATCCTTCGGTTTAGTATTCCTAACCTAATCGGTTTGGTATCTCTCGCAGACCTATTCGATCATGTCGCCCTGTTAGGAAGGAATTAAAGGAGAACACTGCTCTTACTTGTACAAAGCTTGTACACCCTGATTATGATTGCAGGGACTAGTCACGCTCAAAGACCTGCAAAGTTTAAATTAAGTAACTTTTTCGTGTCGGTAAGCCTGACCAGCTGCAAGTAACTGTAGCACCACTTAAGTCCAGTGTATGTTCAGAGCAGTTCAGTGGTTCATAAAACTTATGCAGCACACATGACCAATGTTTCTTGTATAGCGGTAGTCATTAAAATATGTTTCACTTACAGAATGATGCACAGAGCAATTGGAATATGACTATAGAATCTTTATGGGTACAATACTTTTGCATCAGATGGACAAACCACTAAGCCACGACAAAGACCTGGATTAGTAAACCACATACGGTCTCATCAAGTTTGGGTGTTTGTACGCTCCCGGATAATCGAACAGAAACTCTGCATATATGAACATAGTGGCCAAAAATAAAGTCACTTCAAGTTTAATATCCGCACGAACAAGGTCAAGTTTTCGGAAAAGTTTGCTAACAATCGGTAGATTTCTTCATCCCGGACTGACACTAGGTGAGCAACAGCAAGCAAATGAGTTTATGTATACCTCGACAGTTCAGCCGAAACTTAATGCACCTCCTAGAAACCTTCAGTGGGAGTTGTGTGGTGATCAGAATCTGTTGAAAGCATGATAAATGAACTGAAACCGGTCTTATCAGTTTTACGGTCTATCCAGACTAAGTGGTTTTTCGCGGTATTTATCAGACAACTGCTTCGTTGTATGACCAATCGGTGACGTTCTGCATGGACATTCGAATGAGCACACCGACGAATTGTTTGGAGATCGCGGCAGAAAATGAATAGGTCGTAAACCTGGAGTAGACCCTTATAACAGTCTGTGGAGTGAATTTTCAGGCCGCGAGGATGCAAGTAGCCAGCGAAGAAACAGATAGTCTATGCACATGGTCGTCCATGGTGTGGGAATTTCGGAGCACATAGATAACAATCGGCAGTTTTTTACTGGGTAACGTTCCGCTTTTGACATAAAAGCTTCATCACAACATAGATATCAATTGTTTGCTCCCCTGGCTTCACAGACCGACGTTTTGTGCCCATGTTCCCGTATGTCATTATTTCGCACTGCATTGTCTCCCAGCCGCTCCGCTTATCGTATAGCCAATCAACACTTCCACCTCTCACGCCGTCGATATCCACGTGACCAAGCACATGTGAAACTGACGTGCAAGGCTTTAAGGCCACCGGGCTGTGATTGGTGATGGTGGTTTATCCCCATCTTCGTCTGTGTCGTGATTCCGCCTAGGCCCGAGACATGTTTGCGTACGGACGCTCTCCTCTTATGGTCGTATGTTACAGCACATCCCTCCGATGCTACAGCAAGAACAATCTCCCGGTGTTTGGTTGCGGTAGCTTTGACAAGCCTACCAGAAGGCAAACCGGATGGAGGTTCAACCATCCTCACGAATTACAAGCACCGTATGGAACCCGGTTGTTTAAACAATACCGCGAGAGGTTTTGATTTTTAGCTATTCCTTTCAGGGAAACTACCATGAATCAAGTTGATTTTACTTTACTGCAAAGTTAGACTTAATTCGTGGTGTTGGAGTTAGTGAGGGGGTAAACATAGCTGCCGGAGAATGTCACTGTTGTCTCTTCAGAGAAGTCATCGCTTTTTAGGAGATAGTTTTTGAAAAAAATTATGTGGTGGGATTAGTAATGGCCGGTTATGGGGCACCTTAACCATAGATTCCATCACACCTGCGCTCGTTCTTGTCTTTTTCAGCTTTCTTTCACCCTCACACAAGCGGTCTTATTCTCCAGCCTTGTCGCTGTACTCATATGCAATGTGATTGTTGCACTCATTTTCAACTTCAAATTCCATCGCGCCTACGGAATCATTCTGATTTTCTTCTACGCAATTTTTTTCACAATTGCCATCCTCATCGAAGCGGATGTTATAGTATCACCAAAGAACTGGGGTCTTCTCACTGGAACGGAGTAGCATTATTCTGTTTTTGTCCGCACGACCTCCGAGTGTCCCCCGGACCACATCCCGTCGCGACTTTGGGACCTCATTTTATTCCTAATCAGACGACACGTTTTCAGATCCATTCTTATATCTATTTCAGTCAAACAAACAGCCCAACTTTTCTGTATCTTTAGATTTGTCCAGCTGTTTGTTCATTTTTTTAAATATATTCATGTGTTTATTCCTAGTTTGCGTCATGTTCTTACTGATGTCCCAGCAGCTGGTCAGGGAATAAAGGTGACAGCGTTTTTTGGGCAAGAACCGTTACACGCGAACTTTGGATTCCCTAACGAACAACTCCGTTTGTATCCAACAATGTAATCAACATTAAGGCGGCGAGCTGGCATCTGGACGAGTGGAACTGATGGGCGCACCATCTTGTCTTCAATTACAGCTTGAGGCACTGGAGATGAAACAGTCGATCATAGCCTTAGCCATTTTTTCCTGAACTAGATACATATTGTGAGGAATTTACTACGAGGCCAACACTGCACTCGATTTGTTTGTCACTATTACGCTCAGATAGTGAACGCTACGCAGCAGTGTGTGGAGTGATGGTACGAAGCTTTATAAAACTGAATCATGAGGCGGCCTGTTTGCAGCACTTTCAGTTGTAGAATACGATAAATGAGAGATTCAGTTGAGTCTCTCATGATTTTCAGATGAGTGTATGTCTCGAAAACAGTGCAGTTTGGGTTCAAGTAGATCATAAGGGACTGCGCCTACCTGATGAGCCCCAAGAAGGGCGAAACCGATCGTGGGCTGTCGAAGAGTTTTCAGCAACCTTGTGAGTAGTTTCCTTTATGAAAAAAATTTATAAAACATCGTTTTTTTACTTCAGAACAAAGAACTTATGCGAGAGAACGTTTTTCTTTTTGGTCCGGAGTTCCACTCGAAAAGAATACACCACACAAGAGGACGCGTGATAAAAATGAACTCGTGCTAGTGGCACATACCTTGCTTATTTTTATCGTTCATAGTCTGCCGACACGTCCATTGTGCTATGAATACAGCATGATAACTCTGTTGTTCTGGTGGTCAGATAAACCAGACAGCAACTTCTGAGCTTGCGACAGGTTCAAATCAGCAACACCAAAGCTGTCATTTCGGTAATGTGAGAACTGAACCGGTTCAGTCGGGTGCCAGTACTTACTAAAAAAGCGTAGTATAAAACTTCTTCCCCTGAGATGGGCTGAGCTCAATCACATACTCTGCTTCAGAGTACTTACCTTGAGACACACAATGAAAGAGCAAACTGCGGTATCGGTCTCATTTCATCCGCATATTGAGGTGAAGAGGGAGTTTGTTAGGTGTCACGTGTTGACCGTTCGTACAGCTTTCCCTTGTGAACTATCAGTACCAATTCAACACTATCGATGAAGCGTACATAACCCATCATTTTTTAACCTCAGTAGCTGTCGAAGTTAATCGGTACGTGTAAAAAGTCACAATTGATTCGCTTTGGCGGGTCAAGTCTGTAAAACATTCAAATTAATGTCGATAATCTACTGAACCCATTTATTTTACACCAACTTGGTTTTAGTGGGAGAAGCACGTGATACCGAGATGAATCTCTCGCCTGTGATGTTCTTCAGCTAAATGCATTACACAATGGCTGCTTTAAGTCTTAGCTGATGCTGTAATCAATATATCGCCATACATTTTCATTGAGGAAACTACTCATGAGGTTTATCTTTGTAATGCACTACTCATAAGGTTGCTGAAAATCCGTCGATAGCCCACGACCCGTTTCGCGCTTTTTGGGGCTCATCGGGTAGGCGCAGTCCCCGGGTTTCCGTCAACCTTATGTTCTACTTGAAACCAAATTGCACGAAATCAGCGAATATACACTCATTTGCAAACTAAAAAAAACAGATTAGTTCTTCGTAGGACTCATTAGTTAGGTGTAGACCAGAGTTTCCGTCAACCTTTTGGTCCACTAAAACACCAAATTATACTAAGTTGGTGGATTACGCTCATTTGCAAATAAGTTGGCGAAACCGGTTTTGTGTTGACGAATAGTTCACTGCAATACGGGAAGTGACGTGCTCTATCGGGAAAATATACCGCAGTATCTCGAATACTGTACCAAATAAAACATGAGGCATCCTTGTGTAGTGTATCCAGTTGAAGAATATCACAGACGGTAAATTCAGCTGCGATTCAATTGAACCACTCGTTAAAACGAGTGGCAAAGGCCGTACAAATCAAGTTCAGGTAGGACATTAACAGAAGCTCCGTGCCTGCGCGTACCGAAAGATCCCGGAGAAGTGCGAAACCGGCCGTGGGATGTTGAAGAGTTTTGAAGCTTCCAATGAGTAATTTCCCGCGAGATTATATTGTTGCTCTTCTTATACGATCTAATGGGGTCAATAGATAGATACCTAGAGTAGCTAGCCTGCTAGATGACATCCACTTATTCAAGGTTATGAAGGCTGACTTCCTCAAATGAGGGAGAGACGTAGATAGAAAATTCAGGTGTTTTTTGTTATTGGATTAAATAGTAGCAGAACTATGGAAAAAGGAAGGGCAAAATGATCATAGGTAAATAAAGCGTTTCTCACGCAAATTACTATGGTAGCCGAGTGTAGAATATTTCATGTTACGATTGCTGGGAAATTTTGTCTGTTTGTTGTTACTGCTTAACAGACTAGTTTTAGTGGATGGATGACTTGTAAGGTCATTTGACGCCCTCATTAGACAGGCTGGATTGAATTTCGACGGTGAAATTTGAAAGGGTGACTGGGTATTTGCTTATTCCATCAGGAAACAGATCCTGCGTGTTGCAGGATGGAATAACTGTAGTTATACAAACGAAACTAAAAGGGCGGAAGTGGCCTGGTTATAGTAGTTGCTCTTGAACAGCTGAATATTGCGGCGAAAGTTTTATATGAGGATCGTAGGTTTGGGGCCGTAAATGTGGTTCTTTTAGACGGATGAATGTTTCAGAAAGCACACTGACCCAATATTTGTTCGCGAAAAAGCGTTATCCCTAAATCACGCTTACCTTGCCCTACTACTTACTTACTACTTGCCACTACTCTACTACTCGTCTATTGTCCGGGGCTTTACCGAAAATTCGACGAAATCAGATGTAGGCAATCACACCAGAGGGCTGAATGCCTAAGGATGACAAACTAAAGAAGGTTTTACGGTATTTCCTTGTTAGTTATATGCCATGCGTACTGAAAAGCCGAGTTAATAAAAGAAAGTTCTTAGAGAAAACATGAGACCCCAAAAACCCTGCAATTCAAGCCGAAGGAAACCACTGATGTTTACTGACTGGTATCACCCGTATGTATGAGAGATGTACTGCCATATTCAATCGTAGCAGTTAGGTCGAAAAAATGTTCATGATAAAAGGCAGAGATTGCCGGTAGAGCAAACTGCATCTCGGTCAGATACTACGACGAATCACCATTGCGTACAATGGACAATGGAGGGACGGTTCGTCCCAAATAGAAAATTTTAATCTGGGTTCAGTTAAGCTTAGCGGCAGACTGTTTTGAAATTGTGAACCTCGAATCGTATTTCAGTACCGCATATGTTTCTCTAATTGAAACAGTGGTCCCAAATTTCAATCCACTTCATATTAGTTTTACTCACTTTTTACGGAATGTAGTTCGAATTGTAACAGAGCGTACAAGTGAAAAATTGAGAAACACGGAGTAGTTTTCTGGAACAGGTCAGTTAATAAATAGCCAAGTCACATTAAAACAGTAGAAAATGAGCGTTAAATATACACCTTTCTTTTATCAGGACATTTGTTTTAGAAGTTCTAGATCAAATTCGGCTATGATAGTGTTGAAAAGATTGAGCATCACGAGGTGTATAATATGTAAAATTTTGAAGTTAAAACAGGGCGCAGTGGGATAGAATGTTTTAATCCGACGTTTCCGTTACCGTGGCCAACCATTTTTTTTAAAGATTTCTGCAATTAATTGTATAGGAATCAAGTGCAGCGTCTTCTGGATTCGTTATCTGACCGATATGTCCCTGAGATCAGTCGGCAGTTCGATGCGGCCACCGTATCTGGATATGTATTGGCTGTGTGTGTACCTGTGACCTTATGTATACCTCGATTGGGAAGTAACTCCAGCTGTTGTTGTGCTGGCTGTGGTGCATTATCGTCAAGGTCCCTGCTTGATATCTGTCTGAGCTGCTTGGACGAACAATCTAGTAGCATAAAATTCATAGTGGAAACTGACAACGAGCAGAGGACTACGAGTTCCCTTGACTGCAAGCTCTGTTAACACTCGCCATGGATTCTCAGTGGGAATTCACAGAAAACCCACGCATTCAGGCAGGTATTTGAACTGTGAGTCTTCGCATCCACACTACTTCGGACCGCTGGTGAATCGTGTCAAGAAACTATGCTCGGATGAGTCCATACAAGTGGACGAACTGAAGTGATTTAGTGGGGTATTACAGCAAATCGAATACCTAAGCTCATTGCTCAACAATTGGGGAGGAGGCTTCCCGGAACGGTGGGGCAGGAAGACGAAAACTCGATGGTCACCGGGAGAACGCCCTATAGAAATGGCACTTCAGGCGCCATTTGAGAAAATGCTTTCGGATTATGATATTAAAACATTCTTCCGAACTGATAACACCTCACAACGATACCTCGTTAGGGCCAAAGACCCTGTCGAACCGAAGCGTCACACAAACTGCGTCTACCAAATTCCCTGTGCAGAATGTCCGGCCGAATAAATGGGCCAGGGAGCCTGCCAACTCCATGTGCGCAGGACGGAGCACAAACGACATGCGCGCTTCCTCCAAGAAACGCTATCGAGTTCAAAAATTTGAACGCCATTCAGCCATTGCACTCCACGCACTCGAGTCAAGCGATCAAATGAACTTCAATGATCACGTACACTGCTATCAGGATTCAAGTCACACATGAAAAGGGCATGCGCTGAAGCCCTAGAGATCAACATACAACCAAACTTCATGAACCTTAGTGGTGCCGC